CTTAAATGATTCAGTGCAGAAGGCAAGACTCACCGCATTCCGTCACAAGCGATCTTCGGTCATCGACCGGACTCGTCTTCCGCATGAGTACAACACATTCCCTGCAGGGGATTATCTAATGCATGCATATATACCCTTACACAGACTTGAGTCCACCGCCCGCCTGTAAATACTCTCTAAGCTTCTCCAGCGCCTTAAACCGATGAGAAAGGTTGTTCTTCTCCCCCGCCTCCATCTCCGCATACCTATTCAACCCCCAGAGCAAATCAGCTCCAACCTGAACAAACCGCACAGAAAGACTCACGTCCTCCCTGTTCCCTCAACCTCGAACACCGGATCCCAGCCAAAGTCCCCCCCTCCTCGGGCGGGTACGATCTTCCCCCTCGTCACACCCTCAAAGAGGACCACCTCCGCCCCCGGCCCCGGAGAATACGCAAACGTGCATATCGCACTCGCCGCCCTGGTCTGGAACCCTTCCAGCATCGTATTCAACCCTGCGGGATCGTGAGTCGTCAAGCCTGTCATATAGGCTGGGCGTGAACGGGCGAACCGGAATGCCCAATAGCCTTGAGGAAATCTTTGATATACACTCCTGGCAGCCCTCCGAGCGCGTCAAACCCCAGCGCAGTATCTTCAGTTATACACGGGCCGCCTAGCTAACCCTCATGGTCAGTCTTACGTCGGTAGGGAGTGAAAGGGGAAGGGGAGGAAGGAGGGACGTACTAACTCGGCTGCTCGTTGGCACTTTGCGCGCGAGACTTCACGCGTCGTTCCCTGAAGTTCCGGGACTGCATGCACGACCAACAACCAACGACAACCAACAGGTCACTCCCGGCCTAAACGAGCAAAGAGAAGGGCCGACGCACTATCCAGCGCCTTAGAGTCGACCTGCACACTACCATCGAGGATTGCCCGGACTTCTTTCAGCTTGTGCGGGTTGGAAGTTACAAATACTGTCCGCCACGAGGGAGGGATGAGCTGGAGTTCAGCTGGGGTGGGGCAGGGGAGCGTACCGACATGCAGCAGGGAAGACATCCTAGGCTAATACCCGAGCAACCTGGCCAGCAGTAGCACAAGCAGTAATAGTATTAGTACAGCACAGTATGAACACGATTAGGGACGTCACCGACAATTGTGCGATCGTGAAATGAATATCAAGAAAAGGGCACACTTTGGGGTCCTGGAGGCGCACGGACCTAAAGCCAGGCGCACACGAGGCACACGCGGACAACGGACAACGGACAACTCACACCTGACAACTGATAATTGATAACTGATAACTGACAGCCAACTCCCGCTAGACTGCTTGATGGAAGAACCACGGAGCAAGGAAGGAGAAAATGATCAGTACCTCATACATTAATACAGCTGGGCTACCCACGACTCTGAAGCCGCTCTGAAGCCCCACAAACTCCCTTCCCCCCCTGCACCTATGCATCCTCCTCCAAAAGCCCAGCGTCTCCCTGACCTGCAGCGGCAACACCACCTCGCTATGTACCATCTCCCTGACCCGGTCCATATCCCTCACCATCTCCTCTAGTCGATCAAGGCTGAACAGCTAGATCGGTACCTTCGTAAGCTTGTGCAGCCCACCCAACAGTGCAAGTTGTCAACGGACGAAGGAGAACTGGCTTGCCGTCAGTCCTTTGCAAGAGAATGGCTTGAGGAGAGACTTACGTGTCTCACAACTTTATCGATGTACACGCTCCCTTCGTCTGGCCAAATCGTCATCAGTGGAGGACGCTGGACCATGATCCAGTATGGGAGGGTGTCGTACAGTGCCGATGCCAGTCGGTGCGCTGTGTGGCACAGACGCCAGAAGGCTACAAGGTGCTCTTCTGGGATGAGGGACGAGTCCACTGGGCACAGCTCTATTTTCAAGGTAAGAATGTGTCAGGGAAGGAGGAGGTAAGACAGACGTTGCATATCTGCTCTACGGAGCTTCTCGTGCAGTATGGCCCACAAGCGCTGTACTCCGCGTGGTGGTCGCAACTTTCTCGCTGCAGACTCGAGCGCCTCCATACGCACGAGAAACGTTCCGTCGTAGACCTCCAGACTGAACTCTCGAACCCTCTTGATTGCCTTGATCTGCCTCTCCATCCTTCCTAATGCAGCGGTTTTCTCTTCTTCACTCATACAGTGATTGAGAGACCTCAGCATTTCAAGGAATGATGGCGGGTGGTTCAATTCGATTAGGACGGATTCGGAGTAGCTCCATCCGAGTAACACGTGCTGATCCCTCAACTCGAGTTGAGGCGAAGCAGGGTTAGCCGTTGCAATGTTGAGTTGGCAGCCTAGTTTGTAGTAAAAAAAGCTAGAGTATTGGTAGCTGATAAAATCTTGTTGAATATTCGCAAGCGGGTGGTGGCATATCCAGCCTAGTTTCGTAAGAATGTTGTGGGAGAATGTGACGTTATGATCAGAGGATTTGGTAAGGGTTTGAGCTATTTCGAGGATCTGGTCGTCTGAAAGCTGTACGCGTGGCCTCAGCGCTCTGAAAAGTTACACCAGTGGCAGGGCTTACCTGTTCCAAATGATCTCCGCAAATTCCGATGGCAGCCTTGTAGACCTCGTATACACCCATATGGCATCCACCGAGGCAGAACTCTTGAGAGTTCGCAACGCCTTGAAAAGGGTAGTTGCAAGCCAAGGTCTGGAACATCCTCAGGCCACACACACCCATAGGGTTTCTGTGTGCTTCAAAAAGGTATTTCGCGATCCCCTCCATCTCGGGGGGAACAAATTCGGGGTATGCAGATTTTAGAGCAGCATAATGAGTTTGCTGTGTTTCGGTGAGTTGCGGGAGCGAAAGGATGAAGTCGCATAGAGCATGAAGAGGTTCATTTAAGACGATCATAGGCCTTTTGTTGCGCGCACCCGCCTGTTCACCAGTACTGTGATCCATGTTGAGGTGAGAGTGAGAGAGAATCGAGAGTGGTCTAACCTTGAGCAACGAGCAAAGTCTGTGCCTCTTCCGTCACACGTGGGTGTGATGCTCTTTTTTTTCGCCGTGGGAATTCACCCAAAAGCCACTCTTCTAAGAAGCTAAACGCGGGAATTACATAGAGGATATAGGAACCGCGGAAGCAGGTCATCAGGTTGTTTTGAAAGGTTGGGTCTGAGAGCAGCTGGTACCGTCCGCGGGCCACCTGTCCCCACCACACTCGCATTACAGGCCATCTACTCATATGTTACAGAGAATAAATATGGGAAGATATCAACTCAGTGCTATATCCCACCACGTCGGCTGGCTCTCTTCGCTCATGTGAACATCCTCCAGCCCTCCGTCCTCTGCTTCTTCCACGCGCTCATCGATTGGGCAACACATCCATGCAAACTCGATAACAGACAGAAGCGCGTCCTCGGCCACGACTCCGAGATCAGATCTACCGCGTAGCAAGTCACGCTCATTATCCCTTGGACCGGAAGAGAAAAGCGCGAACTGCAGAGTGCTCAGTTTGTCAAGAGTGGATGAGGCAAGATATAAGGATCGAGGGGATTTGCTCTCGAGGAGTGCTTCCCTGTGCGAGGACAGTGCTGCGCGCAGGATCGAGCAAAGATGGGGTACTGCATCCTTCCGTGCCAATCGCTCTTGTCGATGCTTCCTTTGGAGAGCTGGTGCTTTATAAGACACATGCTCCAAGAGGAACGCATTCTCGAGTCCTTTGACAGCATCAAGTGCAACCTGCTGACACGCGGCTGTCTTCATAGCGTTCATGCTAGAAGAGAGCACATTCGTG